CTGATAAGATTCAAAATGGCCGATTGGTGGCCATTTTGTTTTAATAAATGTGGTTCTAGTGCATATCTCTACTTGCTGTGACTGCTTATGTTCAAATTTTAAATATTCATTATACATCATGCCATAGATATACAGATATATTGGTTTGATGATCCTATTAAAAATGGCTGAATGGTGGCCATTTTTGTGCTAAAAAATCATCAAAATCAAGCATTTCTCGGCTGTTTACAGATGGATTTTGTTCAAACTTGGTACATACATTAGACATTACGGATTCCTGATGCATGATTCCTGATTCCTGATTTATTTTTTAGATCGAATTCAGAATGGCTGACTAGTGGCCATTTTGTTTTAATGAATGGGCTTCTAAAGCCATATCTCTGACATGCTTTGACTGACTATGTTCAAATTTTATATATTCATGATACATGTATTCAAAATGGCTGATTTTGTTTTAATTAATGCTGTTCTAGAGCAATATCTCTCATGATCAGATACAAATGTCAATCATTTAAATGTTAAACAATCATCATAATCATATTCCTGGCATGTTTATATTCCAGGTATATTACTATAAACAAAACTATATATCTTAAATTCGATAACTAACGGGGACTGTGCCATGCATGGCTTGTTCATCACAAATTTACAAAATAGTCCCATTTATAGTCTGCACTTTCTTTCAAAAGATTGAGACAAAAGTATCTACATTTTTTGAGTAAAAACTGAGACTTGACTCAAATTTTGTCTGTTGGCTCCAAATTTAAAGTTCATTTCCAGAATTATTAAAGAATATAAGAAAAAAGTGCAGATAAATTTGGACGAGACAGTCTGGTGGTGAAAAGATAAAAAAATTACTTGACCATAGAAAACTCTCTAAGTGCGCATGTCCTACTAATATAGCGAATATGGCAGCCACATCTCCATTTTATCTTAGTTCATGCATTGTTTTATTCTTTATTCATATCTGGAATTTTTCACAATGAATTCATAAATTGTTATCATGCCAAGTAAAATAAATAGTGTTTTCTCATACTAGCCTATCTGTGGCACTTACTAGTCATAATACATATATTATGCAAAGACATACACAACTTCTAAATACCTAAGTATAAAACAATCATCATTCTTCAGAAAGTATTTTTTATTTAAATTATGCTTAGTTGTTATCTTAGTTATTTCTTAATTTGTATAAATTTTGTTTTTTTTGTTGAAATTTACATCATATTTTTTATAACCATTTTCATTTTGTTTCATTATTTCTACAGATTCCAAGAAGAAAAGGAAAGACAAATCTAAAAAGAAGAAACGATCAATTTCAAAATAATTTGTTTATTTTTTATAATAAAGTCCAAAAAACTAAAATGCAGCATTATTTTTTCTGCCACAACAAAAACAAAAAATGCCTGAGATGCAGTAACAAAGCCACAATCACATGTCCTTTCCTGTGTTTTGATTACACTCCAAAATTGGACCAAAGAACATCAACTGGGGTAAACTGGCTTTCGTTGCTATGGCAATTATCAGTTGAAACAAAGAATCTAAATAACTAATTATTGTTCAATAACATAATGGATCAAAGCTTCTCATGATATACAGAACGAAGGTTGACACCTTTGCTTTTGACTCCTGTGTGCAAAACACAGAGTGGATGTTTTTTCCAGTTAGTGCATCTGTTTGTGTGTCTGTGTTCGTCTGTTCCACTGATATGTCAAGAACCATGTGTTGATTTTTGATGAAACTGGATGAATAGATGCTCTGGGCTAATGTAGATTTTACTCGGTTTTGGTTTAAATCTATGTATATTAAACACCTAATTAACACTGATGGGACTACAATAGTTAAATCAAGTGGGGTGAGACCAAAATAAATGACACAGAGACAAGGATGCCGGTAGGCAGGTATGGGGGGAGCATCACACCCTCACGTGCAGGCGTCATAGCGGCTGACCCCATGATGCAATTCGCAGATTTGAATTACATCATGACATGAACAACGTGGTACCTGAGTGGTCACTACGGCAACCTCACAAGTAGGCGTTGTAAGAGTTGTTGCCACAGTACGAGTCACAATTTAGACTAACACTGTGGCAAGAACACCGTGGTACCCAAGCAAGGCTGTGTATGCTGCAGTGACAGCCCCCAAATTACGCATAGAGAACAACGAGCATGATTGTGTTAGGAAATGCAAGTCATGCAAGCAAGATTTAATTTGCTTTGATGAGGTGGTAGCATGGAGGCTACCCAAAACAAAATAAGAATAAAAATCAAATTATGACAAGAGCAAAAGTGGTGCAAAAGTGTAAGGCATGTGCTCAGCAAATGCATAAATAATAAAGAATTACGAATCCGAGTAAAACGATGCACAAAGTCAAGTTAAATGCTTTTTTTAAAAATTAATGAATGACATAAATAGTAAAGTGAATTACGAATGTGAGTAAAACCATGCACACAGTCAAATTAAATGCTTTTTTAAAATTAATGAATAACATAATAAAGTGAATTACGAATGCGAGTAAAACGTTGCACAAAGCCAGAAAAAAAAAAAAAAAATACTTTGATAGTTCAATTGTTCAAGTAATGTTGTACCATGATTCCGGGTACTTTGCAAAGAGTTTTCATTGGCGTCTTAATGTAGGTTTGGTAGGCATCACTCTTCCATCGTCCAAGGCATTTGATTATCCAATCCGGAATTCCTGCAGCTGCAGCAGTGGTGGCAGCTCTGCTTCGAAAACTATGGCTGGTGAATTGGGTGATATTAGGTACACCACCCTGAACGAGGTGAATTTGCAACACATGTGTAAGCTTCTGGCGGGTTAGGTAGTCACCGTTGGTGAATTGAAATGCAGGA